TCTTTGTTTCCCCCAAAGGAGTTCCTAGGAACTAATCGTTCTAGGAACTCATTTGGGGGATCCAAGTTTTTCTAGGAAAAGGTTCACCCGGTGCGCAGGATTACCAGCAGCACATAGGTCATAATGCGCGGACCCAAAAAGGTTACTCTGGGCCAACATAAAAGAAACAGCGCAGTATTTAAAGGTAATTTCCAATGAATTGACATTACAGAGTTTACCGGTATTTTGGTACTGATATGTGAAGATTGGAATACCAGTAAGAAGACTATCTTCCGTTCTTTTTAAAAATCATCGTGATTTGGAATCATAGGGTGTCACTGGTAAATGAAGTCTGTTATTATGGAAATATTAAAATGGAAATACTGAAAAAGGAGATAAATGCATTGACCTCTGTTGTAACCACAGCCAGTTTCTTTGTTCTTGTGTGTTTCCAAACTATCGTTTGGTGAGCAGAACACGTGCTGGTTGATGAGAAGGGGAACTTGTGTAACTAGACAAAACCATGTGTATTATGTGGATAATGTTTATATGAGACATACCAATTCCACATAACAATGATAACTGATGATGCCTTAGGCATTGCCTAATGTCTGACACCTTAAATGCACTGCATTTTTTGCCTTAGGTTTCCTTGGTGGTCAAATGCAACTGTGAGTAGCCATTGCTTATTGGAGCTATGTAGCTTTTATTTTAATTGGTTAATTTAATAATGTTAATTATTAAATGGACCCCATAAGCATGTCAGTGATATGCCGAGATTGTCCCAATTTACTCCTATTTGGGGTAATGAGCAATTTATACTTGGCAATAAAGATGGAGGATTTAAGCTATAGAATATAAGAGGCATTCAGAAAATTCAGGATCTATATGAAGATTGTGTTTTACTTTCATTTGATCAGCTGTGCCAGCCAGATACAATCCCCAAAAAGCATGTTTTAAGAATTTGCAGTTGAAAAGTTACATGTTATAAAAAGAAGAACCGATAATCTGTATGCCGTTTATCAAAATAGAAGAAATAACACTTGGATATGTAGAAGACAAGGGTCACGTATCTGTGTACTATAATTTAATTGTCAAACATAGCACTGAAACAACATTGGACAAATTAAATGCCTGGAAAATGAATATACAGGAAGTTATAGATGAGGCAGACTGGAAATATGCATGTCTTAAAGCACAAACACAGACAATAAATACAAGGTTTAAATTACTGTAATATAAATGGCTAATGAGAACATAGGCCTAACACCTCATCAAATGTCCGGTAATATTCCAGATGTGTGTTCTAAATGCTTGGAAAGGTACATCATATCATTGCCTCTGGGAATGTCTAAAAATACAAAACTTATTGAAGGAGGTTATAAAATAAATGTCAAACATGTGTAACATTAAAATTCCTTTGAATGTAAAACTTTATTCTTGGAATGCATCCAATGGACATTATACAAACATAAAGACAGATTAAACTTATGGAATTTGGTCTGCTTAGCTATTGCATTATACTGGAAGAGTATGGATGCTCCGTCCATGAAAATGTGGATAAAGGAGATATCAAACTATATCGGGCAGGAAAGGCTAACTTAAAGACTTTGATCTGCTGTGGGAGCAATACATAAATATCATGTAAATAATATCCAACGCATTCTCATCCCAAGGCGTCATATACTGACTCTTTTGCCAATGCGTAGACAGACATGCAATACACATGGCACCCTTTAGTGTCAATATAACACTCACAAAGTATGGGTAGGTTTAGGTCTGGGGTAGGGTTAGAGTTAGACCACTAGGGGGCACCTTCTGCCCCATGTATATCTGCGTTTCATATTGACGGTAAAGGATGTCTACGCATTGGCAAAAGCGTCAGTATATGATGCCTTGGGATAAGAACGGGCTGAAATATCATGTAAACGGCATAGACCTATTCAGAAAAAGACAGTAAACACGGTCTCTAACAAATTAATTTATTATTACGTTACTTTTTTTCTCTTCCTTTAAGAAGTGTAAATTGAAGATCTATATGTAAAAGGGTGTAAGCATGTGTACTTGTTCTTTGGTTATATAGATGAGAAAAGGACAATAAACATATTGGGGGAAAATGTATTAAATGCACTTTATGTTCTTTTGCAATTGTGCAAGATTTGATTATTTGTTGCATCATTTTTTCCCCAGATATGTGTCCCAATGCACCTGGCAAAAGGTGTAAGAAACTAAACTAAAAATGTGTTTTCCCCATTTTGATCCCTAGATATGTGTCCCAATGCACCTGGCAAAAGGTGCAAGAAACTAAACTACTTTGAGTGAAAATATCTTTTCATTTGGCTTACTTTTTGTACTCTTTACTCTTTCTAGATACAACTAAAGCTCCCATACAAATGCAGGTAGAAGTCATGTTGTGATGTTTGCTGTATGGGGCATTTCTCTACTTGGCTTTGTTATTGTGATCATCATAATCTGTTACAAGTAACAGGGGCAACAGTATGTGTTTGTTAACAAGCTCAGTCATGGTGATGCTTTTGAGCTTACCATCTCTTCATTGACACATTCCTGTAAACTTTGTCATTGTGGTTCAACTGGATTTACTGTAAGTCATCATGTTTCATCATGATAAGACCGTGTAGGAGGAAGACTTTTTGGGAATAAAATAGTCGTACTACTGGTTTGGCATGATTTGCTTCATCAGTTGCTGTTATTCTGTAAAAATTATCGGTATTATTTTTCACGAGCTGGATTCGGAAAATAACTGACCACAACCCACATGACGTTCAATAGGAATATCAGTGCAGGGTGAAAATAAAGATTTTCAATTAAATGATTAATCAAAAGACAGCATACAGGAAACAGATAATAAGTCTTAAATAAAGGTCATGTTTACAGTTACACCCGGAAAATGAAATGTATTATTAAACATCTAAATTCAAGTAAAACTGTCCATGCATTCTGTAGAAGGCAATCAATCATTCATTTATTTTATTCAGTAGCCTAAATTTCTTTTTGTCACGTTGCAACAGATCGTCCACATCTGAGTTATGGTCATAACAAAAAGGGCTACTACAAGAAGTGATTCTTAAAAATAGTTTCAAAATCAGTCATGACAGGAAGCAGAAATGGGAAGTCTCTTAAATTATCATCATTTGACCTTTTTAAGAAATGGCAAAGTCTGTTCATGTTGTCAAATAGTAGCTATATAATCCCAAGAACAGTTTATGAAAATAAAGACTTAAAAACAATATTTAAGGGTTACCCAAAAATGAAAATTCTGTCATTACTGTAATTACTCACCCTCATTCCAAACCTACTGTTTAACAGGTGACTTCCCACGCTCCGTAGATGGCAGATGCAAGTGAAAAAAAAAATATATATATTTCGAGCTCTTGGAATCTGGAGTTACAAATGATTAATAAAAATCAACTCTTACTACTAAGAACAATGAGATAATAAAAGCTATCAACTTTTACCATTGAACAAGCGAAGTTCTTCCAATGAAGCATCAATAAGCCTTTGATGGGTGCCGCAATTATAATAATAATAATAATTATTTTTTTAAATTAATTTATTATAACAGGGACAATGCATATTAACATGACAAGTCAAAATATGCCAGAGTTAGCCAGAAGGCTAGTTGTCATCTGCAGTCCTAGGCCAGATTCAGGCAACCTAAAAAAAAAAATTTAAAATCTCAGAAATATGTGAATAAATTTGAAAAAAAAGAATTTTTAATCAATTTTTTCAGAAATATTGGTCTAAATCACTCAATTCATTATGGATTAGTTTTATTTTTCTCTTTATAAACTTTTTAAAGCTTCAAAATGGTAGTTGCCAGCTGCAAATGGAGGGACAGAAATCTCTCAGATTTAATTTAAAAGGTCTTTCATGAGTTCACACTACATTAAATGAAACGGTGTAAAGAGTAGGCTATTTTACGTGCTGTCCGAGGGAGGACAACGGGCTCGAACCCAGAGTAGCCTATTAATTATCTGAACGTATATTTACAGTTACTAGCCTACTCTCAAACTTTGTTTATAAAACATAATTTGTGTTTCGAAGAAGAACGAAAGTCTTGCGGATTTGGAACGTTATGATGGTGATTAATTAATGACAGAATTTTCATTTTTGGGTGAATGAACCCCTTTAATTGTGAGCAGTTTATTTTGCTTCCACATAATGGGGTGGTGATGCCATCTAGTGGTGAATAAGAATGGTTGCACCATGGGATGATTGCGTTTTTTCAGAATTTAATTTAAGAGAATTTATCTGTTGTTGTTTAACCTGCTGCCACTATCACTTAGACTATTTTAACGATGTCTTTAATAACTTTTCGAGGCCGGCAAGTTTCAATTCCTCAAGAAGTCTATAGACTAGTTTGCAGGAGTGATCCAGCTCTCAGATTTCATCAAAAATATCTTAATTTGTGTTCCGAAGATGAACGAAGGTCTTATATAGCCTACTCCGCTGCTTGTCTTTGCGTTCTATTCTTCCCACACTCACTGACTGCTGCTCACTGCAGCGTTACGAGTCTGTCTGTCTCACGCTTGCTGCACGTGTCTCTTATTAGCCACTGCCACACTTATGCAATTCCTTGTGTGTATGCTGCGAGAGAAACGGAACAGAGAGACAAGAGCTTCCTGAGGGATGCAATATATTATAGTGTTTAGAAAAGGCCTGTTCTTTTACTACAGTGTCTTGAGGCTCTCTGTTGCTAAGATGGCAACTCTCCATAATGTACAAAACAGGAACAGGAAACCATACATTGGGTTTGCGTCACCAAACAGCACCGGTTAAGACAAATGAAATGACAAATTAACATTGATAAATAAGAAGGCTATACTTTAAATGATACTTTCATGTCAGGTGTGAGGTGTTACAATTTCAGTTTTGGACGAGGTAAAATGCCCTCTTTTTATTATGAATATAACCTAAATCAAGTTTAAATAATTGTAGGGTCATTTTGACAGTCAGAAATAACGCAGGCACAAATAAAATTAAACATTAAACAGCACACATAAAGAAATGGTATTTTATTTCCAGATTTTTCCTTTTCATTGTTTTTTTATCTTGCATCCCCCGCCCCACAAGGTAAAATCAACAAATTAAAAAATAAACAGCGGTACCATGAAAATGTAAAAAAATAATAAAAAATAATGTTTGTATAATCGTATAATTATTAACAAACAAACAAACAACATTAATAATTTTAATAAGAACACGATAAAGAAACATTATGAAGGTAAGCTGTTTATCTCATGCACCCTTTCATAAACACTCTTTCAGAGTGGTAGTTTTCCAAAAACAAACAAATAAAAACAGATCAAGAATTTTAGCCCATTGGGCTTTTTGTATCTAGCTACATGCAAAGACATAAAAGTGAACTTGATTTTTTACACATTCTCTCTGGCATTATGTAGTATACATTGACTGAACCACAGCCTAAATGCCTCTGCCTGGTGTTATGAAACAACACAGCGAGGAATCCTCCGGGCGGGACGTTCTGGAATATCCATTCAGTGCCACAGTATCTGTGTGCCAGAGTAATACATCTCACCTTTTTGGAATATACACATTGTATTTAGACTAGTTCAGAATTTATGATATGTCTTCTGATGTCACATCCAAACTTGAATCCATATTTGTTGTCTTTCAGTGCTGAAATTTTGAAATGATTGTATTATTTATTTTTTATTTGCACTTCATCCCTTCTTCATTTTCTTGTCTTCATGTCCTCTGTGTTTCTCACAGCGTTTTGTCACTCTCTTTCTTCAGGTGGCTGCAATGGAAGGCAAAGGTTGGTCAATGATGGCAAATCAGGTCAGTGATGAAAGGATGAAAGAACGAAAAATGTAGCCTAACGTAAAAATAGTCACATAGCCAACCCATAATACAGCGATGGAGAAGAACCACATGAAACTATGCATCTATGTATTTTTTACAGGGTAGTAAAAGTTTAGCTGGCTAAATATGAGTTGTTACTGTGCCTGAGCTGGTTAAAGCGTAAAGCCTTGATTATACTACACGCGTCCGCATGAGTCAAAAGGTGCGCGCGGCAAAAACGACTTGATTGTAACAGCTCTGATTTTGAAAACTCTTCGCGATCAACTTAAAGGGTTAGTTCACCCAAAAATGAAAATTCTGTCAGTATTTACTCACCCTCATGTTGTTCCAACCCCGTAAGACCTTCGTTCATCTTCGGAACACAAATTAAGATATTTAAGATATTAAGATCGCTCCTGCATACAGTCCTTAGGCTTCTTGAGGGACTGGCTCTTGCTGTCCCCGAAAAGTCATAAAAGACATTGTTAAAATAGTCCAAGTGACTACAGGGGCTCAATCTTAAGTTTATCAAACGACGAGAACACTTTTGTGCGCAAAAAAACAACAAAAATAACGACTTTATTTCAACTATTAGTTTATTTCTCCCTCGAGTCAGGTTACTAGTTTAATAGCGTAATCTTCTGTTATTGTACGCAATCGCACTACGTTAACTGACTACAGGCTTATGGAGAAGGAAGTGAATAGTTGAAATAAAGTCGTTATTTTTGTTGTTTTTTTGCGCACAAAAGTGTTCTCGTCGTTTGATAAACTTAAGATTGAGCCCCTGTAGTCACTTGGACTATTTTAACAATGTCTTTAATTACTTTTCGGGGACAGCAAGAGCCAGTCCCTCAAGAAGCCTAAGGACTGTATGCAGGAGCGATCTTAATATCTTAAATATCTTAATTTGTGTTCCGAAGATGAACGAAGGTCTTACGGGATTGAAACAACATGAGGGTGAGTAAATACTGACAGAATTTTCATTTTTGGGTGAACTAACCCTTTAAAATTCTTCCAAGATCGACTTGTCGACCGCGATCGAAGGGTTGGTGATTCCTGTAACATGCTGTATTACAGTCAATGACAAGAGTACGAATCGGATGTCTCACGAATGTAGCCAGCACATTTATCCCCACATAACACGTTACATGAAACAGTCCAACTACATATTTTACACCACTGATAAGGGAAAAGTCACTACTCACAGTGTTTATGGCTAGCCTCTAGCTTTCTGCGGCTTCTCTTTCAAGGTAGTGACGAAACGCGCTCTGTAGCGCTGTTTGTTCGCATTCGGCTTCAGTAGAAACATGGCGTCACAATATGTCGATCTTCATAGAAGGGGGTGCCCACGGTTATGTAGATATACAGTAAATGTCTCATTCGAATGGTGCGTTTACACTGGACACGAATATCGCGTCAGGCGCGAGTGATTTAAATGTTAAGTCAATGAAAAGATGCGTTACGCGCGTAAAAAATTCCTGCAGCGCGAATTAAGTGTAGAGTGCGGCACAGTAGACGCAAATTGATTAATTGGTGTGAATTGATTCAGTTAGTGCTATGTGTGCATTCACGCGTTTGACGCGAATTCGTGCCTGCCGCCCGAGTTGAAAAATCTGAACTGAATTTTTAATCAAGAGCCTGGCTGCTTCAATAAATTGTTTTGTAATCACAGGACAGGTTAATCAATTTTGGAGGCTGGCTCTATCAATTTCTAAAAAATCAAATTCTTTATGAAAAAAAAATGACTGTGATTTTTACAGGTATCAACATTAGTGATACAGTTGAAAAATTGGTATCGCCTATTGCTAGTGTTGTTCATTCACATCTATGTGCAGTATACATATTTGCGCTCACCTGTAGTACTCGTCCTGTGCAAGGGAGTGATGATGGTGGTGGTGGATCCACTGCTGTTCCAGGGCGAGCCTCTGGAACTGAATCTCGGCACTCTGAGCCTGCTGCATTGCCTGGAGCTGGTGTGCTGCAGACATTGACCCACCCAGAGACGAGGACTGGGGCATCTCACGGAAAGGACCACCTGTACACAACATGCAAGCAAATGCAGAAATCATGTAACACGGAGAAAGGTAAAATGCGTCGCAACAGAACATCATTACACCTCTTACCAAAGAGCTGCTGTCGAAGCACCTCGCTGTCAGTGAGGGAGTGTGCCAGAATGGGAGGCCCAAGAGCAGCCCCTGGGTACGGCAGACGGGCCAGGGGAGACCCTGATGCCAGCGGATCCATCAGGGGGTGTACCCCTCCCGCGGCTGCCACCCAAATACGTAACAAAACAAAAGTGGGAAATTTAATAAGAGTAGCAGATTTTCCCAATGGCACTGTAGTTAAAAATGCTTGTTCAGTACAAGAACAGTGCTGCCATTATTCTTGGCAATAATAACCCATTTTACTCCTATAACCTGGCGTATTTCCGAATGAAACTGGACATTTCAGCCGACAGTATTTGTATTGTTGATGATGGTGCTGAAATTGTTACAGAAATGCTGCTTTTGTAATGCTGAGAGAATAAATGTTACATATCTTAAATGGAGAGATGACTCCAAAATTTTAATTTACTCACTTTCATGTTGTTCCAGATCTTTATCACTTTTTTTAACTGTTTTGTCCACACAAAAATTAATGGGGTACAAAACCACACTGGATTACTTTTCAAAATATTGTAGAAAGCAAAACACTGGATAATTTTATTTGCATCTGCATCCATTGAATTTCATGCTGTTTTACTCCCTTTTCCGCGTCAGAACGTCTACATTTGGTAGTTTCGGCAGTGTATAGTGTAAATGCAAAAACCGGATACTGGTCACTTTTAAAAGATGATGTAAGCAGGTAGTCAAAAAAAATCGGATATAGTCAGAAAATCGGATTTGGTCATCAAGACCTGCAGTGTAAATGCAGCCTTAGATAAAAGGGTTTGAGTGATTAATAATCAGTATCTAGCCTGACGAAAATGTATTCAATGTTGTCCACATTATATTACATCTGCAGCAGCATTGTCAACTTTTGAAAATATATTTTTAGCCATTAACTTTTAAATGCATCATTATATTCAAATTACAAACACATAAGGAGAGTCTCCGCATAAAAGACCCACGACTGGCAGATCAACGTGCTACAACATTTATCTCCGAAACGGTAGAAAATTTAATTTGATTGAATGGAGTATTTTTACTGTGACAAGATGATTGACAGGGCAGTTTAGGGTTACAGGATGCTCGCAACAGAGCTGTCCGTTAAAGATGACGAAGTACTGTTTTATGTCCCAAAGCTTGCCTACTCTTTTTCTACACACCCAAAAGTATGTGCTTTTAGGGCATGTAATATAAGTAGGCGAATTGAGACCCAGCTCTGTAGTCTGTACTAATGAGCTGATAAGTTGAATCAGGTGTGATAGATGAGGGAGACCCCCAGGACAGGTTTGAGAACAACTGGACTGTAGTCAACCACCTTGACCCATCCCTAATAGTGACAGAATCATATTTTGAATTTGCTGAAAGGCAGTACTGTGTAAAGTGTGAGTGTCTGTATGGTGAATACCTGTGTCCTGCTGGTGCAGATGTAGGTGAGAGTGAATGTGTGAATGCTGGTGATGATGAGGAGTCACGTTCAGCATCTGTAGCCGGCCGAGAGATTCTCCTCCTCCTGTGCCTCCTGCAGGAGCCGTGCCTCCTCCTGCTGCTCCTCCACCTGTCCCTGTCCTTTCCCTGTCCCTCTCTCGCTCCCTCTCTGCGGCGGGTATCGCTCTCTCTCTCTCCACGCTCCTTGCACGTTCAGTGCTGGGGGGAGTGCGAACCGGGGTGGGATATCGTTCTGAAGGCGGAGCCTGGGTTGGGAGGGATGGGGGCTGACAGGAAGGGTGTGTATTTGGAAAGGTAGAGTGTGGAGAGGGGTGATTAAGAGATGAGGCTGTTGGAGGAGGAGGTGGTGGTGGTGGTGGTGGCGGGGGAGGAGGTTGAGGGGGAGGGGCGGGGGCTGCTGGCGTCACTGGGGCTACGGCAGGAGCCTGGTGGGTGGGGAGTGAGGCTGGTAGTATAGAGTTGGGTGGGACTGACAGAGGTGGAGGGACGGGATTTGGATTCCTAGCTGCTGCAGCTAAAGCTTGAGGGGGTGGCGCAGGAGGTGGAGTCGTACCATAAAGGGCAACCTCACTACCAGGAGGCCCACCTCCAGCTCCACCCCCTAGCAGCAAGGAGTGTGAGTGTGCGTGCGAATGTGCGTGTGACAAAGCTATTGCCGGGTCGGCTAAGGCTCCAGCTGTGTAGACACGCTCCTCGCTCTTAAACTCAAATCCTGGCTTCACACGCTCTCTTTGAGCTGCTACAGCATGAGGGAATCCCATTCCTCCAAGCCCCGTCCCAGCCAACCCCCCTGGCCCAGGACCATGCCCTGGGTGGGCAGGGCCTCCCTCCAGCCCGCCCCCATACAAAAAGCCCAGGATGGCTGCAGCCGTGGCAGCGTCGGCTGGAAGGTGGTGGGGGTGTGCGAGGGCTGGGTTTTGGAATTGGGACAGGAAAAATGAAGGGTGCACATGGGGATGAGCGTGGGCATGGGCGTGAGCGTGAGCATGCGTATGCGCATGTGGGTGAGGGTGGTGGTGAAGGTGGGGATGGTGTGCCTGTGCCCGGCTGACAGCCCCCAACGGAGACATGGCGTGAGGACGGGCATACTCACTCAGGGTTCTGAGGGCTGGGGTATCAGGGCCCAAGTATGGACCCCCAAGCCCGATGCCAAGAGCACCCTGAGGGCCTCCAATAACTTGAGAGCCCCCTGCCATGGAAGGGAGAAGAAGAGAATGAGGAATACTGTGAGAGAGAGAGGGATGCAAATGATGAGAGGGGTGAATGGAGTGGGGGTGTGAGGCATGGTGGGCAGGGTGGTGCTGTGGATGGACTGCTGGATGTGAAGGGTTCACAGAGGACGAGGAAGATGAAGGGTCTAGAAGGATGGAGGATGAGGAAGGAAAGAAGAGTGAAGAGCCCTGGCGTGTGCCTGCAGCTCCTAACCCTGCACTTGCGCCACTGTCCTTCTGCTGAAAAAAGAGGAAAAAAAATGTTTGTAAAGAACCTGACAAGTAATGAGTAAAGACTACAAGGAAAACACAAACTCCACTGCTGTGACAAGAACTTTTTTTGCCATATTTTGTGGTGGGAAAATATTTTCCCCTCTGAATAAAGTTTTTTTAACTTACTCCACTGGCATAAAGCTCACTAAATTGCTTGATCTCTTATTTAGCTTCTGAAGTAAATGCATCTATAATGTTAATGTTAAAACTAGATACAAAACTAGAATACTCAAAAAGAAAAAGATTATTTTCTTTGCAGTGTTTCAAACATAGTTAATTGTCTTTTTTACCTGCAGATGTCTGTCCAGGTCTCTCTCCCTCTCCTTTTCTCTCTCTCGTTCTCGCTCTTTCTCTCGTAGGTCTCTCGCTCGCTGTTCGACCTCTCTGCGAGCGCGTTCTATTGCCTCATTTCTCTTCTTCCAAAGCTTAGAACCATCAAGTGGAACAAATAGAACATCACTACGGGCACAAGAGTTCCCACTGCCCCGGTCAAGAACCCTGTGGAACCTGAAAGCAAAGATGTATTATCTTTTCCACAACATATTTATATTGTCATGTGGCACCAAATTGTGTATTTTAATAAATGCAATTCATCTGCTATACAATAACCCATTCAGACATTGCTGATCTGAATTCAACATTTATTTTAGGTAGGACATCAGGTTATCTCCTAATCTCTTGTGTTTTACTGCTTTCCATGCAAGTCAAAACCTGTTTTGCACCCAACCAATAGCCATTTGACAAAGTGGCGTTGTAAGATTCACCTTCAATTCTTAAACACAATCATTATAAGTTAGCTTTAAGATTAATTAATTAATTGATAAACAAAGAAAGGTTGAAACTACGCACAGTTATCTGTAACCAATTGATAAGACGAAAAGTACATTAACCTAACAATTTTTGGAGTGTAAGCCTGTGCAAAACAAGATTTGAGCATAATGGCAAAGGTAATCTATATGTAAAAAATGAAACAAATAATTAAATATACAATATCGATCCAAAAAAATCTCTAACTTCGGTGAATAATGTATATGACACCATTATATTGTGCATTTCTAATTTTAAAATCAATGGCATGATAGTTCTGATCTGTTTGTGTTCGCATTTACATTTTTTTTTTATGTTTTATTAGATTTCATTTTAGTAAGCTGGTCTTACCGAGCTGATTGGCTGGCATGGATTGGAATGTCAACAGGTTTAGGTTCTGGGGAAGGACTTCTGAGAACTGGAGGTGGGCTCTCCAACTCCTCCCTCTCCTCTACTGGCTCCTCCTTGATGACAGGTGGTGGCACTGGGCCAGAAGATGAGTCAGAGTGACCATCTCCTCCAACAGATGTGCTGGGGGTTGAAGCAGTGTTGTTATGGCTGGGGTTACTGAGATGAGGTTGTATTTTAGTGTTTTGAGGGGAGTGCAATAGTGATGGAGTGCTAGTGCTGTTGCTGTTGTTTGGAACATTGCCACTGGCATTTCCATGGCTACTGTTGCCATGGTAAGTGCTACTGAAAGGAGGATGACTGCTTAAAGTGCCATGGTAAGGAGTAGGTCTGCAACTTGATGTACAAGAGGTGGACACACCTGATGCAGGAAGTGGTACAGAAGGAGTAGAAGTTGATGGAAAAGGAGTAAACCCTCCCATCGGATTTGCTGAGGGACTGAGAAGAGGTGAGAGTGGGGTTGATGGAGTCTGATTAGATGAAGAATATGGGCCCTGTCGAGCATGACTGCCTGGAAGGGATGTTATGGGTGAGGGCTGACCATGTGAACTAGTAGAGGGTGGAGGAGGTGGAGGGGGATAAGTAGTAGAGGGGGGATGCCCATGTCCAGAACCACTTGATGAAGGAGAAAGGGATGGAGGGTGACTTCGATTTGAATGGAGAGCAGATGTAGTGTTGTCCTTTTCCCTCTCTCTGTCTCTATGCTGTGTAGGCAACGCTGTCTGGCCAGGATAGTGAGAGTGGTGAGGAGGTCCTCCAGGATAATCCCGAGTAAGATTTGGGGCCAATCCAGGTGGGCTCGGAAACTCCCTTGGTACACCAGAAAGTGGGACAGAGGAAGCGTTCGATCCAGGGGATGGGTAGGGATCCTTTGTCCCTGGAGGAGGGTACTCTCTTAAATAGTGCGGAGGTGGAGGAAGGTCTGCAGCATTGGAGGGTGCTTGGGGAGTATGTCCTTGCAGTGTCTGCTGTACATTTGCATCCATAGGAGAGGGATAGTCTCTACTTGGGGGGATTGAATTGGCAGAGGAGAAAGGAGGATGACCAGAGCTGTTTTGAGGTGAACTGGCTGGGTCACGGGTCACCAGGGACGTTGAAGGTAAAACAGATGATGGGGCACCTACAGGCGGTTGGTTGGCATTAGCAGGATAACTGTTACTCCCTGCCTCCCTAACCTGGCCTGCTAACTCTCCCCACCTACTGTCTTTGTCTCTTGGATGGCATCCTCCCCCTCCAGTGCTTTCCGGTCCAAACTCCCGGCCTTGTGCTTGAAGCTGCTGGTTCTGCAAAGGAAACTCCCTCCCAGTTCCACGCTCTCGATCTCTAAAGCCTGGTCCATATTCCCGACCACTCGTTGGTCCCGCAGGTCCATCCCGGTTTGATCCATATTCTCTGCTTTGTCCTGGTAAAGAGTTCCCAAAATCCCGACCCACATTAGAGTTGAGTCCACCACCACCAGAAGTGCTACCACAGATGCTACCACTGCTGCTGTTTGCATTGCCAGTGCTATTACTAGCAGGGAAGTCTCTGTTGCCAAACTCTCTGCCACCTCTCTCCCGTTCAGCCGTAGTACCATACCTAGGCAGATACTCTTTGTGTGGGTGGGGATGAGGGTGGGATAGGTAAGGTGGGTGGGAGGAGTGTCGGTTGGACGAAGGAGTATTGTACACAGAGGGCAGCTGTTGCTGCACTGGGGGCTGTTGGCTTGGATGTGCATGGTGGTTACCTTGGTAACGTACATATCCCCAGTTGCCAGGACAACTAGAGGGAGGTCCCCCTGACCAGCTGGTAGGGGTGTAAAGGTGAGTGTTGGGAGGAGGAGGTTGTTGAGTAACGGCACTAGTTTGTGGAAGCAATGAGGGTGGAACAGACTTATCACCTTTCTCTGGTTTGTCTACTTTATTTTCCCCACCTGGAGCATTCTGCCCCACCTCTAGAGGTTTCAGGGCAGGTGGAGGTGGGAGAGTTGGTGCATGGCTCACATTTGAATTCCCATGGGAATACTCAGCTCCACCCACCCCAGGTTTCCCACATTGCGGGCCTGCTTTTGAAGGGATGCGACTAGAGGTGTGTAGGGTTTCTGGACCACCAGGACCTGTATACTCAATTTTGCTCGCAAGTTTCGAATCGACAGGGAAGTATGACTTCCTGTTGCTACTTGTATCACTTGCATTGTCCACCTTTCCACAATGAGATGTATAGAGGGATGACGAGGACTTCAAGGAAGACAAATCTCCCTCAATTCCTACCTCACTGTCCCTCTGGTCCTCTGGTCTGCCATCCTCACCCCTCCCTGTGCCTCTCCGGTCTTCTGCTACACATTTTGATGCCCCTCCATCTTTGTTTTTATCACCCTGCTTTGGGGAATCTGGAGAGTCAGATTCAGAATCCAAACTTGCCAAGGGGGAAGCAGAAAGACTCGGAGAAGAGGATCGATTGTCCTGGTCAATGTCCCGACCACTGCTTATGCTGCTGCTACTATTGGCTAAGCTGCCTCCAACTGAGCTCCGACTGCCTTGTGATTGGCCATCCTCATTGTCACTTTCTCTTGATTGACTATTGCTTGTTGTTGGAGGTGGAGCAGAAGTCGGAGTGTTAGTTGAAAGAGGTGGGGCTGGGGGATTGGAGGAGGAGTCCTGATGGCAAAATGAAAAATCAATATGCATTTTTTTTAATCTAATGCAATTGTATTCATAGTTTCTAAAATTTTACCAGTACCTGGACTTTCTGTCTTTTGGGCGGAAGCACATGCTCCTCCCCTTCACTTTCTGATGAATCATGGCCTTGAGATCGTCGGTTGAAACGTCCAGCAGCCAATTCCTCTCCAGCGGTTCTCTGCTTAATAGTATCATTTTAATCATGATGTAAGGCAATTGCATTTTTCTGTATATTATAAAAAAATAATAATTTCCCTACAAGAGACAGCAAAAATAGCCAACTGAACCTCTTAACATACAAAATAGTGTGAAAAATGACTGATCATGAACATTCAGAATAAGATACTCTAAACTTAAGAGACATAAAATAATTCAGTGACAGAGATAGTAAAAATGAGATGAGGTATTCCAAGGATGAAGAAACTACGACAATGGAGAAGATCACAAAAATAAATACATAAGAAATAAAGAGGGAGGAAAAATACAAGAATTCTTACTGTTTGCCTTTCGTTGCGCTCTGCTCGAGACGGGCTGGGGTGCGGACGTCTACCCCTCCTTTCCTCGCTGCCCCCCCTCCTGCGTCCACTGCGAGCGGGCATCTGTGGCAATGCCCAGCATGACCGAGGGAGGGCAAAGACAAATGGAAGAAAGAGAGAGAAAGTAAGGCAGCATGACAAAATGATAGCACAAGACAAAGACAGAACAGGAGTAAGAAATAAAAGCATATTTTGTTTAAATTCTAAAGAATAAAATACCAATTTAATGAAGGGGTCATTTACGATGCATATCCAAATACTTTGTAAAAACACTTTGTAATAAAAATCCACTTGAATTGTTTTGACTGACTTATTCTATGGCACAGATCAAAATTCAGGACTACATATAGTCCACATTTGAGGCTCATCTCAAGTAGTGCCCTCACCGATTCTTTGTGGGTTCGGGTCTTCATGACTAGCTCTCTATGTGGTCCATTCCTTCCACTCAGCCATTACAGAAAGCGGGAGCGTGACCACAAATGGGATGGTTGGCCTACAGGCTGCCTATCATAGCACTGAATCTTTGAAACCTGGGAGAAACAGAGTGAATACCACTAAAGTCAAAATAAACTTTACCATAGCATTAATATATTTAATACATATCCATTTGTTATCAGATATTTAATCAGTAAAGTTATTAATATGTTGATCTTGCTGGGAAAAAGTAAACTGTTAATTTAATTCCCTTTTGAGGTAATATGAAAGGAGGATGAGATCCACTGTTCTGCATTCAACTGGCTTAAGAGCAAAATTATAATCTAATGTTCTCTCTCTGATAAATCTATCATTATCAATGATGAAAAGATCTGTGATTAAACCATCTATAATTATCATGATATTATTGTATTATAAACAAACAATTCTACTATTTGCAGTGGGGAATGATGTAGAATGAATAAGAATTAAAAAAAATATATTTTTATATCAAGTGCATGGCACTTCAGAGTGTTTTGTGGTACTCTGAAGCTGAGCTTTAGTCATCAATGTTGAATTGAGCTCTGCGAAAATCATCTACTGCAGCCAATGAATTTTAAATGAAAAATATAGTCACAAAAAGTTTCATTCACATTTCAGGTTTTAAAACATTAATTCAAACACCCCTTTAATGTCATAGAAACAATCTTAATTTTCTTACCACTGTCAGAGAAGATATTTTGACTGGAAGGTTCTTTAGTACACATTTTGCATCTTTTCATCTCTTTCCTGCTGATTTCCTTCTCTTGTTTCTAGCCTCACTAACAGCAATGTATTTTTAATTTCAAGGCCTATTTTTCTGTTTCAATTATAGTCTGACAATATTGGGATAATTCAAACACAATCGCTTAGCAGGGATGCAATAATCCACTGATATACAATAACATTGATAATTAACCGCAAATCACAGTTGAAGTGAATCCATGTTTTCTGATTATGTAGCATATGTTGGCCTTTTTTAAAACATTTTCAAAACTTAACCATGAGAAACATTTTTTTTTCATGACAAAGACCAAACTGACACACTATAACTTGCTTGAGAGAAAGATGATAAAATAATTAGTTAAAAAAGACATAACTCCTTTACCAGCCATAGTTAAGAGGTTAACTAAGTCACAGTATTTCAAGTCAGCCTCTGCTCTTTCTTTCTCTCTCTTTTACACACACTTCATTTATTGTGAATGAGACTATATATAGCACACTAACAGACTGAGTGAAGCCAGTGAGTGTATTTAGCGCCACCTTCAAAACTGCTAAATGTTTACACCTAAACCACTGAACACCAGAGAAAAACCACAGTGTTGATAAATATTACATAAAAACAGATTTACAGGCAACTCTGACAACCAACGCATTGAATACTCAGGCTATCATGACCACAATTAACAAAATACTCATTTGTAAAACAAGAATTAATAGTAGTGCCAAACATACAAAGACTACACCTTGCGCATATCCCATAAATGTAAAATCAGCATATTTGTGATCCAATTACAGTGTACCCAAGGTAATATATCCAAATGACAATAAAGGCTGCCAGCACTCTGTCTACAGGTGAAATTTCATTCATCAGGACCCAGGAGTCCATTACCCAAATCTTGGCCAGGCTCCATGCATGCATACCAAAAGCCTTTCAGTCTCCCACTGAAAACACATGCATCTAAGGAATCAGCAATACCGTCACTTACAGTATATGCATACAGTCACACACCATATGGCAAGCAATTTCAACAATTATTCTGTGGACATAACAAGTACCTATTCCATGTATTGTAATTAATAATAACCATTAGTGAATAGTATCTTTTCAGTTTAGTAACTATTCATTAGATACTAGTACCATTACAATATCTAATAAATTAGTCACTAGTACTGTACTATTTATTACTCTTCTTTTGCTACTAGTCACAGCAAGAACCAATTTTACTGAACCAATTTTACTGCTGTTTCTGGTAATACATATATATTTTTTACGAAACAGTAGTTTAGATATTAACTATTCACTTCTGACTAATATGTATTCCAGTTTTGTTTGTTAGTACCAAAATAGATTTGAATATTTACTTTTATTTGTTTCAGTTTCACTTGTACATGTTTATACGATTAGAATAGTTCATTTGTCAGTAAAGACTTAATTGCCCCTTGACAGTGGAATTCATTTTTTTTTTACAACAAATATACACTAGGCCTGTTAATAAATAGGTACTAGTATTTATTCAGGTGTAGTACTAGAAAGATAATACAATTATTAAAATACATATTAACTAGTACCTACTGAATAGCTACAAGTGAGCGCGAAATGGGTACCAGCAACAACTGGAATACATACTAGATACAACAAGAGAATAGATAAGCACAGAATCACAGCAGTTGATGGTAAAAAAACATGGTAAAAAATAAATAAAATAAATGTTAGCATTAATAATGGAATAGTTGATTGTCACTGCTGAGATAAATACTAGTAAGTAATGGATAATTACTAGTGCATGTAGTACTACAAAAACTGAAAGAAAAAAGAGATACTGATCACAATATTGGAAGTAAATCAAAGTAATGCAAATGCAAAAAGTATACTAGTAATAAAAAAACAGATAGGCAACTAGTTAGTTTTAAGAAATACATGCTATAATGGCTTGCCACACATACAACAAATCATACACACTGTCCCCTTCACATGTACATTGCAAAAAAATATAATTAGACATAATTCGCTTTGATTTTGAATTCTTTAGCACGCAAATGCACAATGCCAAGAGGTGGGGTGAGTTAGACACCAGGACGTGCATCATCTCTCGGCCACGCACCGCAACGTTCCTTTCTTCCATTCTTCTGCTGCTTGTTATTGATACGCATGCAGAGGCAGTGCACTACTGTACTAACTGGACGACCTCTGGATTACAGTTCTCAGACAATGCACTGCACATTCGATCCTGACAAAACGAGGAGAGAGGTTCGTAACTCCCCCCCTTTCAGCCTTTTTCTTCTCATATGGGGAAGATTTGGGATCAGAATGGCGAATGGCATTCTTGTCGAGAGCTCCGTGGAATGTGAGCACTCGAGACCTGAGTGGTTACGCACCCCAATTTGCAATATGATTTTTAGCCCAATACATGCACATACGTAAATCACAATGAAGGGAGTGCGAGAAAGGGGAACCATCTGAACGTGTCCAGAGAAGAACGAGTCAAACATAAGCATCCATTTTCTCCCCCTTCTTACCTATAATATCCAGCGATGCGTATCTCCCTTTCTTTCTCTCCTGCTGCCGTTCGTACTGTACATTGACCGACACGCGTTCAAACACACAGGGAACTCGATGCACGGAAAGATTTACATTGTTGCGGCTTCGCAAATAACGCAATGTTTTCCCAGCCGCTCCCCCTGAAATCGGCGCAGAAAACGGGGTGCAGCTGAAGACTGTACAAATTGATGCGTACGTTTGATTCTTCCCCACCCCCTTTTCTTTCTGCCCCTCTCCCGCTCCTCTGTCAAGACGACTTGCACTCTTTTGCAGTCTGTACGGACACAAATCTTCACGGAGGGGTGAGCGAGGGACGCACGACCACTCGAGGGTGAGAAGGGGCGTGATTCTTCTTATTCTTCATGGAAAAGAGGGAAGGTGAGGAAAGGAAAGGCAATAGGAAGGATGAAAGATGTCGAGATAAGGGTATTTTATTCATTATGTAAATTACTGCTTACTTAATTGTCGATTTACTACACTTCATTAAGGGAATTAACCCAGAACTGCTTGATTAGGTAATGGACACTAATTAGGCTTAATTGTAGTAGGCTACCTTCATGAGGTATGGGTGTCATTTCTTCTGCAAAGTTATTATTTGAAATAAGCTATTTTGTTCATTAAAATTGAGCATCCATGTTTTAGGCTTAAAAAAAACCTACAGATTTCCTTAAGTTAAAGTCAACATGAAATCAAAATGGATCCTTACCTACTTAAAAATACATTCCTGGTCTTAATGTGAACAATGAATCGGCACATATAATTTCAAACAAGAAAATAGTCCAAATATAATGGCCCAGTTTCACAGATAGGGCTAAGACTAAACTAAGATTCGATCTGAGTTCAATTATTGGCATTTAAGTATCTTTTATATACGTGTCCTAGAATAAAAAAAACACATTACTATATGCATCTTGAGACAAAACAATTGCATTGACATATTTTAAGATGTCAGTGGAAGATGCCTTCAGTTAAAACAGCTCAAACATGCATTTTGTCTGTGAAACCATGCAATGTCTTCCAATGTCACGAAGGCCACATCAGCTATTGGATGATGATATTAACCAATTAGCGATTTAGGCATTGTTTTAGCAAACCTTGGCTTCATTCTGATATAACACTGACTTTTCTCCATCCAAGTCCCACCAACATCCATAAAATCTGACAGCAATAGTATGGAAAACTGCACTTAAGCCAAATTCATGCATTTAATTTTAATAATAAAAAATTTATTTTAGGCTGGTCCAACATGTGCCCTAGAGTGTCCTAAACAGGCTTTTCCCCCTACGAGTTCTACTTTATATATATATATATATATATATATATATATATATATATATATGAGTGGACCATCTCTGACTTATAAACTCTCATAAGTTCACTTGGAGAAGTATGTCACATTACAGAAGTAAAGTTGAAAATAGCAATTCTCACATGCTTTAAGGCATCTTTACACTGGCTAGGCTCTAAGGTGCATGGCTCTGTGCCTGCTTCAAATTGTGTGAAGATGCAATGTCACATAAAAATATATATATTAAAAAAGGTTCTTTGTCATGCTGGAGCATATATATATATATATATATAAATTAATTTAATGTTTCTATATTTATTATTTAAAAAATAATTTTCATAACATTATTTTCTAAATGCATTTATCCTGCCTCTATGCAGAATTTCAGCAGATTCTCTATTCCCTTTGCATTGTAAAATGGCATTAGATTAAAAGAGATTTCTAAAATCTGTACTTTCTTGTAAGACTGCAATGGAGTGACCAGTCAAGCGGTTCCTCTCCCTCTCTCTCTCTCAGGCACACACATACACAATTCATCTCCCTCAGTCTCTCTCTCCTGCAGTTTTTTCTTCCCTTTCGAATAGACCTCTGTCCCGGCTCCCATTGTGTTGTAACCATAGTAACCAACCTTGCATAAGAGCGCATGCGTTATCATGTCTGCCGTCACTATGAGCGCTCCATCTACTGTTTAAAGCACGAGAGGCTTAGAGTCTGGCTGCAGAGGTACTTTGCATTGATTTACTGTTGCAGGTGTGTAACACGGAGCAGTGTTCACTTAGGCCTACTGGTTGGAGTTTGTTACTGCTCCTCATCACACGATTACCACTCAATAAACAAACCTGCACCGGCAAACCTGTGACAGAAAGGAACACATATAATATACATAATTTTTTTTAAATGTTCATAAATCTGTAGCAACTGATAAATTGTATATCTATTTACCCTATTCATAATAGTCTATAATTTAGTAATCGGTCTATAAGCGTAAAATAACCAAACCAAATACAAATTGTCTAATGGTTTCAGAATCTGAGAGCACACGTTGGGTTTCCATGTTGTATGGGGACTTTGGATAGACCTAATGACTTTTATACTGTACAAACTATATTCTAACCCCTAACATACCCATCACAGAAACAAAAGGTTTACCAAGACCACACACAAATTAGTTAAAGGTACACTGTGTAACTTTGCATGCATTTTTTGAGTAAGAACATTGTTTTGGTTGTGCTTAGGCTCTATGTGACAGTGCCTCGGACTCTCTAACCATTAGGCCACTTATTACGAGCTCTGTCATGTTATTATTTTGCCAACAGATTCTGCACTGTTCTGCAGGCGATTCTTCAGAGGTTTGAGATTTAGTGTCAACTTTTGTTGACACTAAATCAACAAAACCATGTCAACATTTCTCGCTAGTTGTGACAACCTATGCCACTCTCACATCATACATGCGTCAAAATAGCCGGAGCAACTTTTCTATATTTACCGATATGATGACACCATGATATTTATGACACCATTTCCTCTGAAAACCATTCAGACAGGTCTAAAATATATACATTTATAACAGGGGACTGCAACAACTAATCGATAAAATCGATAATAATTGATCATGAAAATCGTTGTCAACAAATTTAATTATTGATTAGTTGGTCTGCTTACGTCCCAGGGAGCGTTTACTGGTGATTGGTTGAAACAGGCCAATCATGATGATCTCTGTCTTACATGCACTTTTATGAGGCACACACAAACACAAGGTCTCTCTCCCTCTGCCGCTCTGCCATGTGCACGGTACGCACTACACGATTTGATTTCTTCTGTGTCGGATGCGCGCTCTTGCTTGTATGCTCTAGATTGCGAGAGTTTGAACTTACTTGCGGGCATCAGGGAGCCGTTATCAATATGAACTTCCGAGATGGTCCTCACTGCAGAACACGAGATCGAGGGGGAGGAGTTGGATACAGATCCAACTCCTCCCACATTACATATACCTAAACCTACCTATCTCCACCCCCTGATCCCTAACCCCACCCCTAATCCTACCCATCTCCACCCCTTAGATCTGGATCCAACATAACTTGTGCACTAATGCATCTTTTTCCTGTCCTTTTACTCAAGCCTGTTAGCTTACTGCGTATACCTCCATTCCGCTCTATTTTTTTATAGCATTTGTATATTATTAAGTTTTAATTGTTTTTAAAACACGATCTATTGTGGCTCTACGTTCACACGCTTGTTTTCAGTCTTTCTATATTTATTGCATCAATTTATCCTTATAATTCAATTAATTTTAAATAAAAGAGTAAATTAATTATATATTTGAGATGTTTTTAGTTTATATCTTTACATCTGAATATGTGTGTGTAAATTTGTTTTAACAAAAATTGTGTTAAAACACTTTTTTATTACATCAATCATAGTTGTCAACTTGCCATCAGCATCATTAAAAACAATGGAATGCTTTTGCACATATTAAAGTACACTTTTACACATAAATACCCTAATTTAGGGGTTTATTTAGTTATAATAAACAAAAAAATCCAATTTAATGTTATCCGATTAATCGAAAAAGTAACCTTCTGATTAATCGATTATTAAAATTGTTAAATATTAACAAGTTAATTAGTTAAAACCTAATGTCATGACCCTGTGAAGCCAGAAAATAAAACAACATGCACAAAGCAGTATACCTTTAAAGAATAGCTTTTAAACCCTTCAAAATGTTGTTCTCCATAAACCCCACTTTCTAAGTGCATTACTGCAAATATGATTGTTTATTTATTTACAACAATTCTAAATGTTAAGGCATTTTACATTAAAACGTATTTCTGTGATGGCAAAGCAGAATTTTCAGCATGATTACTCCAGTTTTTAGTGTCACATGATTGATCAGAAATCATTCTGAAAATGCCGATTTCAAGAAACATTCCTTGTTATTATCAATGCAGGAAACAATTGTGCTGATTAATAGCGGAAACCCTAATACACATGTTTTATATACCCCCCATCTCCCATTGATGGAACAATCAATGATGTAACAAGGTCTTTTTATTAGTTAATAAGTTTAATTAGTCAGCATTGTACAGTTAAACCCACAGATACCCTAATGTCAACACAAACATATACGGACTTTACACTATGTGTGTGTGTGTGTGTGTGTGTGGGAGTGAGTGCATGTATGTGTAGTGTATCATTAAATATTTGGATATTGAAATATTGGAAGCATGAGAATTCATTTAAATACAAATATGTCTGTGTGTATGTATATATCACAAGGTTGAAGAGCTGTTTGAATTATGATGAATGCTGGTGTGTATGCTTTGGGAGTAGTAACATGGTATGAAGTACACAGGCTAGGCCAAATTCCACACAACAAAGATGCAGTCTAAAAACTTCAACCTGTGTTATGATACCTCATGCCAGCACACGTCCCTGTAAGGAGCTGACTACACATATTGAGACAGTTCAGATCTATCAAACATTTGACCCATCAGTTATAATTTTCTTCTCTATTCCTCCCTTCTCACTTTTCACAGCATCAGCTAGACAACTCCACCTGTAAACATATGCACAACAAGTAAAAAATGAAGCCCGAATCTACATTGTCGAATCCAGATAGACAAGTTTCATTGGGGCTGTGTAAGATTCTTACCTCTCACCAGTCGTAGCGAGGGCGGGAGTGAGGAGGATGGTGGCGTGGTGACTCGTGGCGGGGCGAGGGAGAGGAGGAGGAGCTAGGAGGCGCTGTGAGGGCCAGCTGTTGTCCAACCCCTGCACTCCGGTCACGCCCGTAATCTAAACTACGGGCATTAGAGGGGCGGTACCGCCCCAACTCTCTCCTCCACTCTTCATCAAAGGCAGCTGCCTCACCTGCAATAGTGAATAGGAGACAATTTCACAAAGGTTCAAGACGAAATTTAAGCCGTTGCTGGCAGTTACAGAGAAAAGAAAAA